TTTTCAACATATATTCCAGGTTTCTACCTTCTACCTTTCTTTAGTGAAAAATTTGATCTGATGTATCAGAAAAACATAAGTCCAAGGAGGTATAAAGTAAAAAAAATGCAACATTGGGTTCCCGCAAAAATAAAATGTCACACTTAAAATAAAACGTAAACAAGGACGTCCTACTTAGCGTAAAACGTAAACAATGGCGTCCTTGGTGAAAAAAACGTGACCATGAAAATTTTCACAAAATTGAAATTTTAAAACTGGTGTCCTTGTTATCAAGGTCGTCCTACTTAGAATAAATCGTAAACGTTGGATTTTCGCGGTCAAGGTCATTTTTAACTTAAACATCGAAAAATTTCCTCTGATGTATCCGTAAAACATAATATCCAAGGAGGTATAATAATAAAATAAAATGTAACATTCGCAATATAATGCAAAATATCGCAAAATTTGTTTTTTTATGTGTCGGGCAAACATAAAAAAATGGATGTGTACTGAGTACGCTTAAAATCAGGTATGGAGATTTGGATGGGGGGTGTATGGAGATTTTATATTTTTTCGATACAATAAATAAATTAGTTACAAGTATTTTTAATATTTTTATTGGCAAAATATATTATAATGTAACAGGTTAACAAAAGAAAATGGAGGAGTAAAATAATATACAATCAATAGATTCACATTTAAAACACGAGTACAAAGATTTTATATCCACAAAATACTATAAATAAATTAGTTCCAAGTATTTTTATTGAATTAACTCTATTCCTTCTTCAGTATGACAAGATATTTAGCTCAACTTCTACTTATAATCAGCTCAGGAGATGTAACAATTATTAAATGGAGTCTGTTGTTCCTTTTCATAATTCCCTTCGCTAAAATCAATTATTATGTTGGTTACCAATTCCTCCTGACTTGATTCAGATTAAGACCTAAAACAATAAAAAATCAGAAAATTAACCCTTAAAGAACTCTTGTTTTTTATTATGATAAAATCAGTTCTGTTAGTGTGTGGATTTGTTGGTCGTACAGAACCGTGCGTGGACCCACTGTCGTACCACTCCTTGGGTAATCCATCCATTCCATATTCTCGGCATATACTCCAATGGAGATATTGACATATTTTATTGTGCCTCTCCAGATATTCATATTTTGCCAATATCGGACAACCGGAAATTAAATGGTCCATGGTTTGCGACTGTTCTTCTGAGATTGGGCTTTGCTATCATAAGTTGCAAGTTGCCCTTTTTCCATTATCTCGTTTTCCTTATTTTCTTGGACGATTTGTTTTGCCCTTTTTAGTACTCCTTTTTTTGTAATTTTTTCTTCCATATGTATAACTTGGGTTAAGATAGGGTCCTCTTGATGGGATTCTATGTATTTTCCCATTCCAATAATGGCATTCTGGTATGCCGCTTCTATTTGTCGTAATCCTCTTCCTCCATCATTCCCACTGACGTACAATCTATCCGCATAAGCTTTTGGATGTAACGCACCATTCATAGTTAATATTTTTCTTGTCCTTATTATTATTATTACTCATCGTTGTTCATCATTATCGACGGAATTTTTGTTTTTTTTTTCTTCTGCTGATATTTGGTATTTAATTCGTCGGGAAAAGACGAAAAAAAAAAAAAAATTAACCGGAAGTCGTAGCACGATGACGATTTCCGTTTATATCGTGAAAATTTTTTAAAGAAATTCTTTTTTAAAAAAAAAATATTAAATTTTTTTGTTTTTTTTTTTTTCGATCATCGAATTTTCATTAATCATTTTTGTGTTTGTTGTTGTTGTTGTTTGTTACAAATCACGTTTAACGTAACGGAAAAGACTTCATACTG